GGCTAGTGACATCCTCTGGATGCCATTAAACAGGCTCACTGGGGGTAATTGCCCAAGTCATTAAAAGTTTGATGATTTTGCTGCTGGGTGGAGGGTTGCCTTCCCTTGCTGTGGCTCATTTTGGATTTCGCTCTGGCATGTCAGATGCCTGTGGGCAGACAGAAGCTCTCTCTCTCTCTCCCCATCTCTCCAGGTAGCAATCGCCTATTTGTCATCCTTCACCCATTGCTGAAGTTGCGAGCAGTCATCATTATTTTGTTGACAGCTAAAGAGCTTGTTGATAGACAATGTAAAGAACAGAGGGACACTGTTGAATTTGACAGCCAGTGCATACTCTATGTTGTCACTGTCCAAAATGATATGTGATCTTTATAAAACTATGCTGAAGGAGTGATGGTGATTGTATTCTTGCTGTTAAGTAATATGGAGATGATATACCGCTAAAATTCGCACACTTTTAGATGCTAAATTATTTATGAATTTATAAAGAAATTGTACTAATGAAAATTATATATTGCCAATAAGCCAGCTTTCCTTAAATTGGATCATTTTTGTTATTGACTAGAGATAATTCTAGTAAATCTACTTACGTTTTGATAACTAGCATGTCACTCTCTCCACTAAACAGGATCAGTCATAGTTACTGTAGGTTTCAAGGTCAATTCCGCCGAGTGAACAAGGCCTTTACACCCTCATTTGTCCACATGGGGATCCCGGGGCTCTCTCCTCTCTCTCAGCGAGAGCTGATCAGGGCAGACAGTTGTTGTGGCCCTGGCCTGTCTCCCAGGCCCACACACTCTGGCATTCCATAGCCAGGGCAGCAGCTACAGGGCATGGTCAATCTGCCAGCTGGTGCCAGACCTCTCTGTCTCTCAGGCCCCTTCTCATGTCTGCCACGGGGGCCATCAGAGTTGACACGAGGTTCTAATAAGGCCGTTAGCTCCTCACCCCTCTGAAGGTGTTAGTGAGTCAGGTGTCTCGTGCCATGCCCTAGTCAAAGCTGCACTCTCAGCCCCAGATGTCTTGCTTGTCATCTTGGCACATCTGCCTGAGGACAGACAATGAGACCCCTTGATTGACACATCAACTGTGTGAATGTGTCTGTCTGGGTTTGTCGTAGCATATGCTATTATGTAGTGCAAAATTTTCTGTGACGGTGTCTAGTGAAGGGTGAAAACAATACAAGATAAATTGTATATAGCAGTAAAAGCATGGGTGTCTGGCACTTGTGCTCATGCTTTAGATTTAAAATACATTTATCTCAGGACACACTGTGCAATTACACATAGATGGAAGGCTGCATTTGGCACAGCAAGCTATCATGTAACAACGTTTCACTTAACTTTGCATTGTATTTTACCAACTCGGCTGGTTTGTGACTGTTTCATATAAGAGGCAGCTTTAACTAGTGAGCTCAGTTTTTCCAGGGGGAGAATTTGGTTGTTGCTGTTTCTGGGAAATTTCTACAATTTCCCCTTGAGTTTTATTTTGTCACTTACAGTGTAGTGATGAAGATTCCCATCACTGACCACTTTCATTTAGGCAAATAGGGTGAATCTACACTTTTCCTTAGGGAAACATAGCATGCTTTTCTCTGCTGCATCATAACTCTGTGATTCTCACTGACATGGTTGCATGTATTTATTTTGATCAACATCATGCATAGTGCAGCTTAGGGCCTTGTTAGCATGTGAACACATAAAACTAAAAGTATTTAAAAATGCATATAAGAAGTGAATTACTGAGGTCAATTAAGGCTCAGTAAAACAGGTTATTGTAGTGGGACTTTTGGAAAGTTAGAAATACAGAGAGTGTGAATTGAGAGCAGAATTACCACCTCGTCTTGACACTGTGAGAGTGCCTTAAAAGGTCAGAGTTTTCAGCCTGGCACCATCTAAATGAAACGCTAGTATACGCACTGATCTGTCAGGTATTGTTTCGAGCTGTTATAATGACCTTATCAAAAGCAGAGAAAGTTGGAATCTTTAGTTTATTGGAAGTTTAAATGTGGCCTATCTTCTCTTTTGTCCTGGCTTTTGATGTCTCAGAACAGCTCGAAGATGCACTGGTAGAGTGTATGTTATGACACAGGTTTATAATGCTGAGCCTAATCCTGCCACTATGAATTATATAAATTAGTCAGGGAGCTAAACTACATGTGCACCACATCTTACTGTATTAGCAACTGAAAATTTTAAAACCACATCGAGCGTCTTTGTGGGTGTCTTTGACTTGGTGAACCATAGGAAAGCTCTGCCAGTGAACCTCCCACTTGACCTCAAGGAGGCCTGTGGTTTTCCACTGTCTCACCAGTCACCCCAATGAAGATGGGGCTGGTTATATATAGTTGTATTTGTTTTGTGTCATGACTTCTCAAATTAAGCTGAACTTCCTGGATATCTTAATATTAGGAGAAAAATAGGGCCAATTTGTCTAAAAGAGCCTATTTCCTTTCCTATTAAGGGTAACTGTGTAAGTAGAGAAGAGTAATGTGCTTGTCACCTTTAATGGCAGTGTGAGCAGCAGCTGGCTTTTGTAGGGGTACTGTGTCCACGGCTGGGGCAAGGACCAAGTCTCAGTGCTATTGCTGAGATTGAAATGAAGTGGTGCCTGGGTCAGCAGCTCTGCGCTCAGCACTCTGCCATGCATCCAGGTGGA